GTATTTGTCGTATCGATTCGCAAACGTGTTTACCTGCTGTGAAAACAAGTTCTCTGGGGGCACAAATCAATTTTAGAGAAAACCTGCTGACGTTACACTTAGTCGTTGTCCTATGTGTAGTTTTCACGTGCGTTCTGATCGTTTCATTAATGCTATAGAAGCTAAGCTCCCTAAACCCTGAACCCTAAACCTTAAACCCTAAACCCTAAACCCTAAACCTCAAACCCTAAACCCTAAACCCTAAACCTAGACTTCGTGGGCCGAGGCCGCCATCGGACAAAGACGGCTGGTGCCATCATGTGAAGCTGGGCTATCATTAGCTCAGCGGCTGAGTAGGTTAGGGTTTAGGGTTTAGGGTTTAGGCTTTAGGGTTTAGGGTTTGGGGTTTGGGGTTTAGGGTTTAGGGTTTGGGGTTTAGGGTTTAGGGTTTAGGGTTTAGGGACCTTTACCCTACTGGCTTTATGATGATTGTTGTATTTATAAAAACAACCTGTCACTACTGCTCATAGCAAAAACTCGCTTTATGTGTATGTGTATGTATGTGTATATGTTATAGCCAACAAATCAACAAATTGATTCGCTAGCTAATGAATATGCTATATGTGTGTGTGTGTGAGAGTGTACATGCATGCATGTATATATATATATATATACACATATGTACTTACATATATATATATATAAGTGCATGTGTGTGTGTATATGTAAATATACAAAATGTATGTTATGCGTATACATACATACGCAATCGTCCTAGGTTTTTTAACTGTTCATTCCTACCATAATCGAGCGGTTCACCTGTCTTGGACCAGGAAGCTCAACAACTAGGTCAGCGACCTCCTGTGACTCTCGTTGGCGTCAGTGTAATCCTAGGCCGTACCCTAAAACTTTAACCCTAACCCTACTTGGAGGTTCACGGGTAGTTATAAGTGGAGTTATAAGTAGGCTAACTATAATTATAACCCATATTAGGGGACTTGTAACCCCCCTTATAACTACCCATGACCTCCAAGTAAGCCGCACCCTAGACCCCAAACCTCAAACAGTACCCTTCATCCTGAACCCTGATCCCTAGCTAAGCCGGGTTGAGGGTTTAGGGTTTGGCGTTTAATGTAGGGGCTTAAATAGTCACTGATACTATTTTTAGGGGTTCCTTGTTCTGTATAATTGCTCCCAAAAGACTATTCTTGTTATGAAGGCCCCTATACCCTAAACGCTTATGGTAGCCCTTATAGCACCCTTTAAAGAACCCTTAAAAACAGCCCCAAACCCTTAACAGTGCAAGACCCTATTCTAATTATTAAGGCCCCTGTACTAGGGCGAAGCCTCTAAAGGTCCAAACCCTAAACCCTAAAGCCTAAACCCTAACCCTAAACCCTAAACCCTAAACCCAAACCCTACGATCCTGGACCCGGGACCTCCCTGCCTTGTTCTGAGAATTCAGCGTCGAATGGTAACATAGGGGGCCTAAAGCATAGGGTTTAGGGGTTAGGGTTTCTAAAGCATAGGTTTGAGGGGTTTAGGGTTTAGGGCTTTAGGGTTTTGTGGTTTAGGGTTTAGGGTTTAGGGTTTGTTGCGGGCTTAGGGTTTAGGGTTTAGGGTTTTTTGCGGGCTTAGGGTTGAGGGCTTTAGGGTTTTTGTGGTTTAGGGTTTAGGTTTAGGGTTTTAGGGTTTTAGGGTTGGGGGCTTGGGTTTAGGGTTTTAAGGGTTTTAGGGTTTAGGGTTGTAGGGTTTAGGGTTACCAATACTGTTTTCCGGGGTCCTTGTTTTTTAAAGTACGATGGACCCGGAAACGACAAACGATTAAGGCCCCTATATCAGGCTTTGCCTGATTCCTCTCAGAGAGGTGGATCGGGTCTGCGGGTTCCTAGGGTTCAAGTTAATCGTTTTAGGGTTCAGGGTTTAGGGTTTAGGGTTTTTAGACTTGAAGGTGGGGGGTCTCCCAAACCCTATATGAACCTTGACTTCCGAATTAAGTCCCCGAATCTGGGTCAGAATTATAGCTACCCTACTTATAACCCACCTGTAACTACCCATGAACCTCCAAGTAAACCCTAGACCCTAAACCACTATAGAACCCTTAAAGGAACCCTTAAAGGAACCCTGAACCCTAAACTCCCTATAGAACCCTTAAGGGAACCCTTAAAGGAACCCTTAAAGGAACGCTGCCGAGGCAAGCTGAGTGCGGTAAAGGCTGTTGCATCGAGGCCCAGGGGTTTCTCCGGGGTGGCTTTGGGCCCTTGGGTTTGGGTTTTGGGGTTTAGGGTTTAGGGTTTAGGGTTTAGGGTGGCTTTGGGCCCTTGGGTGTCGGTTTTGCAGCGCTTCAAGGGCTGTAGGGCTTATACAACTTTAGCATGGGCTTCTACAACTATAGCATGTGTGTTTGGTGTCTTATTTTTGTTGCTTTTTGGAGGTTTAGGTTTAGGGCTTGGGTCTATAACGCTCAGCTGCAGGATTCATTGTGCGTGCTCGCTTCTAACAAGGCCAAGTTACGTCTCTCCTCGTGTTTGTGACTGGTAGCCTGAACCCTTACAACCCCAGACCCTAACACATGCTTCCAATCCCTCGCCCGCAACTAAGCTACACAGCATGACTGGCTAATGCTTGGTTTGCTTTATCTGCTCGAGCTTGCAGCTTCGTGTCGGGTCACACTGCTGCGACCAGCTTGCCTTTTTGGCCCGCCCGCCTGCCCCCTTTGTGGTGTGTGGTATGTCTACAGAACTTGTTGTCTCGGCTGCTGCTGGGCCGCGTACTGGTTCAGTCGTGTTGGCAGCTGGTGCCCTAAACCCTAAACCCTAAACCCTAAACCCTAAACCCTAAACCCTAAACCCGTCCGTCTATTTCACACTGCACCCGGAAGATGTCAAGCCGAGCTTGACCTGCAGGTGCCTGGCACATCGGAGCTCAGCCGTCGGGAAGCCAAGGGGCCTTAGTACTTAAGGTTTAGGGTTTAGGGTTTAGGGTTTAGGGTCTACAGTTTTTTCGGTTATACTTATGGTAAGGAGCCCTCAGGAACAGTGCTTGTTGGAGTCCATATCAAGTCCCGCTTCAAGGATGGATGCTTACCATTTTAAATGCCAGCGATGGATGCTTATCAAGTTAGCCAATACAATCTAGTGAGCATGAGCCAGCGTATGTGCTTCTACTTAAAGATGTATGCAGACATGGGGTCCTGGGAGCCACGCATCGACGTCCCACAGGCTTGAGAATGTTTAGTAGCAGTATCCCTTTGTAGTCCTTGTATAGCTTGTAGAAATACCACATGTTTTTGTCAGGTTATATATATATATATTCCGGTTGTGGAGGCCTGTGCCTAAGCCTTAGTTGCATCGTTTCATGCTGAGCCCTAGCTTTGCCTCTGGGTGACGGCTGTGCCGATGCCGCCGCCCGAGTCGGCGCGCAGTAGTGACCCCTGGGTCAATGTGCCCTGCGATGGGCCTCTTGTGACCCCTCAGGTGGTGCCTTGCCCGCGATGTCATGCTGCCTCGCGGGCTGGCATGGAATTGTGCCGGGATACTTGCTCTCACGACAGGGCTACGGAGACTGCCTTGGGAACCTAGGAAGAGTGCCCGCAGTCAAAAGCCCGACGATCGCGTCCTGAAGCCCTAGAGAAATCCAAGTGCGGTCGCGGTCGAGCACCGCCGGAAGCGCTGGGACCGGATGGCAGATGGCAACTCGATGCGGCTATGGCGACGGCGAAACTGCTGAGAACGCCGAGGATCTGGAAATGGCACACGGTCCGGTTTTCGTTATATGTTATACATATATACATATATATATATAGTTATAGTAGATTATAGTGATAGACATATATATATATATGCTAACCCCCCCCATGAACTACCGCGAGGTGCCACGTCTGCATCGAGAAGCTGCAACGTCTGGCTTGGTGTTCTAGTGTTGAGGGTCAGGGTCACGTGTGTTTGGGGTTGATGCTGATGGTGTGTGTACACAGTGGCGAAGCGTAGCGGTGGGGGGACGTATCATGTACGTGCATACCTGTGTAGACAAAAACGAGAATACACGCATACACACACATACACACACACACACACACACACACACACACACATGTGTAGTTCTACTCTAGTGCCGCCAGACTCGCTGGAACATGTATCCTTCTCAATAGATCATAAGCCTGAGTGGCGCTTTGAGTTGATTCTTCGCAAAAGCACATGCACATCGATAGCACGTGTTGGCACAAATCTGATTCGAGTGTTTGTGTAGTCATCGTCTCTCTTCGACCTCCCTCTCATCGTCATGCCGGTCGATTTCAGCACGGGTAACGTGTGCATGGATGATGTCAAGGAAGCCGTGAAGCATATCCGATATCCTACAGACACGCATTCCTTCCACGAAGCTCCAGCAGGGCCTCTTTCGTTCGTGGACATGCCCACAATCCCATTTCCGGTAACCGGCAGTGTCAAGTGCTTCATCGATGTCAACTACAATATCTCCGGCGAGGTCCCAATCGCTCACATCAAGGAATGCCTCCAAAGCAAAGCTTATAATGATCTCCCAGGTCTTTACGGTTTCAAAAGAAACATCAGCGGGCCCATTAAGCTGGACATGGCCATCCTCCCAATGGACAATGGCAATCATACCATCATCAAGTTGATACACCTAAATCAGCTCGTGAAGGTAGCCACTGCCAGAGAGTTCTGTCAGGGCGAGTCGTTTATGTTCGACTGGAGGGGTGAGGTCAGGGTGATGAAGAAATGCATTCATTACCTCTTCGAGAAGTTGGGTGGGTTCCAGTGCAGACACCACATCATCCGAGCCGCCGAAGAAGGGAAGCCGGAGGTTGATAGGACGCAGGAGGAGTGGGATTTCGGCTTTGATTTCGTCGAAGAGAAAGGTCCAAGAGACAACACCAAAAACAGACAGCTTCGATGGATCACACAGAAACGGCGCGAAAGGATTCACCAATCTATCATTGGCCTGCTGTTTTGGTGGAAAAGTCTCTTCGCAACTTGTCTCAAGACGGCGTCCTTGCCCAGGTCCACACGGAATGGCCATTGACGCTCTATGACATAGATGCACGCATTCTCAAAGCTTTAGCGCCTTTGTTTCCGACCTTGCAAGAAAAGGCATTGGGGCTACTTGGGCAACCTGGTGCAGGTAAGACCTCGCTCGCCAGATCCGTCGCTATGGCACTGTCTCGGTATCATATTCGACGGGTTGGAAAGACGGGCGAGGTCGAACCTTCTTTCCGGCAGGCTTCCGAGTTTGACTTCTTTCGTGGGCAGTCGGGCACCGTCTCACGGCTTCGATAAATCACATAATATGTGTGATTAGTTTTAGTTGTACTGCATTATGTAGCAAATCCCCATAATATGTGTGATGATTTTTAGCTTTACTGCATTATGTATCAAATTTGCATAGTATGTGTGATGACTTTTTTTTACTGCCTTATGTAGCAAATCCGCATAATAGGTGTGATTATTTTTAGTTTTACTGCCTTATGTAGCAAATCTGCATAATATGTGTGTGTAGTTTTAGTTGTACGGCATTATGTAGTAAATCCACATAATATGTGTTATGATGCTTCGTCCGTTGTTGAAAACCCCACAAATCTAAGCTTCAATATTCCTTTACCTGAGGTGTTCCGGCCAGACATTTTCGACGACGGGAGCTTGTGTGAACAGCCCTTCAAAAAGGTTAAAGCCTTCACCGATGTAGGAAACATTGAAAGCATGTCGAAGGAGCGCTGGGGGGCAGCCAAATGGGTTAGGGGACAACCACGGTTGTATTGTGTCAATGACTTTGAGCCGGAAACGGAGCCCGCCAATGACCTCCCCATCCTAGCCCAACGACAAGGTGTTATCTCCTATGTCTCCCACAAAGAGTTTATGGACATGCTCGACAAAGCTTGGTATGAAAAGGAGAAAACCTCGGCGAATGTCCTCGCAGTCTTAAAGCGCACTCACATCCTGTTGAACACGAAAAGCTCGCTATATGTTCGTCCAGCCAGTGAAAAGGAATCCCCCGTCCTCCGCATGCCCTTCGGCGACAAGTCCGACTTGCTTCATCTCGAATCGCGCCCGGTGTACGACTACCACCGTAAGGGTGGCACCGACATGCCAAAGGACTTCCAGAAGAAGGTTGAGTGGGAAACATCTTGGGTTGAGAAGGTCATGGCGGGTGACTTTGACAACTTGCCATACAGAGCAACTATAATCTCAAAAAGTTCATTCGTGGAGCCATCGCGCCCCAGCAAGAGGGAGTCAGCAACGGACATCCAGGAGATTCTCCGCAACAACCTTGGCAGCTCGTCCATTCTCGATTGCCATGCCGGTACGCATTCCCATGAAGCCGCAGGGAGCGATTTGAAGAGGGTCAAGGTCGAACCGGGTGTCTTCAAGTCGTTGTCGAGTGCAGCCTTTGGTTCGGTCATCGATATCTCATCTCCCGAAAAACCCAGACACACATCGACAGGCTCAGCATCCCCGAGCCTCACCCAACGTCTCAAGGAGGAGTTAGAATACTACTACGCACAGGAAGAGAACGCGAACAAGGAGGATTGAATGGCTTTCATCGTCTACATGGTCCACTGAGTCTCAGAAACACGCCGCGCAGTTTTGCATCTCACCAATGTAAAGAAACAAATGTAGCAAATCCCCATAATATGTGTGATTAGTTTTAGTTGTACTGCATTATGTAGCAAATCCCCATAATATGTGTGATGATTTTTAGCTTTACTGCATTATGTATCAAATTTGCATAGTATGTGTGATGACTTTTAGTTTTACTGCCTTATGTAGCAAATCTGCATAATATGTGTGATGATTTTTAGTTTTACTGCTGTAGCACTTACTACACGGTACCATGCACAAAAAGAAGAAGTGCTGACCATCCGGATTCACAACTTTGGCGCCGCCCCATCGTCGAATAAGAAGCTTTCTGTCTGCATGCAGTCGCTGTTGTTCCTGTGCGCGGTTTGTGAAGCACATCATCTCGACACCCAACACATTGAGTGGACATCCACTGCACGTCTCGACTCGAAATCTGTAGGATTTTTCCAGCTTATTAGCCCTACTAGCTGTCAGATCTCTAGGACTTGTCCGCGCCATGGTCAAAAAGGCTATGAAGCAGTCGAATCCGTCGCTTATGTGGCCCGCCCCTAAAAGGGGCAAGGCGAGAGCCTTGACCAAACGCCCAGCAAAGAACGTCAAGTCCATGAAGTTCGTCAAAGTACCGTATGTACGCCACGGTACCCCCACTACCAGGCAGCATCATGAACGAGAACGGTGGGGCCGCTCCATCCAGCTCTTCATGTCTATGACGTACGTGTCACTTGTTCGCCTTCTTCGTCAAGACCGTTTCCTCCCGACGTGGACCAAGAAAACGTGTCCCCATTGCAGCCGAGGTACCCTGACGAAGCTCGCCTTCATCAAGTCTCGGCAAATGTGGGCCCACAGATGTAGAGTGAAAGCCTGTCAACGGTTTGTTCAACCAGCCGACTTCCATCCCATCTTTGTTTCAGGGGCGGGTAGCAGTAAGACTTCCTTGCAGAAGCAGGCATCCGTCTTGTTGTGTGCAGTCGCATCGGTTCCACAACATTGCGTCTCCAAAATCCTTGATGTCGATGACAAGATTGTCTCCCGCGTGTACACCAATGTCGACATGGCTCGGGCGCGGTTCGTCATGGCACATGAGAAATACATTCAGTATGGTGGAGGGCCTGATTGGGTGGATGTTGAAGCCGACGAGGTTGATCTGGGTAAAGCAGTTGTCGACAACAACAAGGTGAAATGGGAACAATGGTGTGGGATCGTTCAACGGGGTTCACCCAAAACACTTCGCCTTGTCCAGCTTCAGCCGCCTCTTACAAAGACCAGGTCTCCCGGCCCCGGCCCAATCCGGAAGAAGGATTGGAAGCCGATCGCAGAAAAGCTTTTGGCAGGCAGACACATCGTGCTCCACACCGACGGTGCCCGAGCTTACAAGCTCAAACTCGATAAGGTAGCCCATTGCAATGTCGTTCACAAGAAAAAGAAAATCAAGATTGGCAACAAGGCGGCGTGTTGAAGAAATCGCATAATATGTGTGATTATTTTCAGTTGTACTGCATTATGTAGCAAATCCCCATAATATGTGTGATGATTTTTAGCTTTACTGCTTTATGTATCAAATTTGCATAGTATGTGTGATGACTTTTAGTTTTACTGCCTTATGTATCAAATTTGCATAGTATGTGTGATGACTTTTAGTTTTACTGCCTTATGTAGCAAATCCGCATAATAGGTGTGATGATTCTTAGTTGTACTGCTTTATGTAGCAAATCCGCATAATATGTGTGATTATTTTTAGTTGCACTGCATTGTGTAGGTTGTAGTTATGTGTAGGTTGTAGTTAATCAGCTATCACAGGTGATGTGGGTGAAGCCGCATTTCACAAAGGTATATCAGTTGTCCATCCCCGGTGGCAAGACGTTGCGTGTGAAGAGTGGGACACAAATCATCGATCGGTGCTGGAGGCATTTGAGAGAGCATATCAAAAACTCACCTCGTAGCCCAGGCAACACCGTTCTCATGCGCAAGATTCGCAGTGCACAGTGGGTGTATTGGCAGAAGGGCAAGAGCTTGTGGACGGCGACCGGGGAGATGCTGAAGTACCTGTGCCGGTGAGGGGTGCATGTATGTACAGCCGTCGCAGCTTTCTAATTTTGGCTCCTGGTTTGGGGTTGTAGAAGCTGCGCAACTGCACGCGTGGATCATGGAACGAACCAAATGTGTCTGCAGGCCGTCTTGTGCTTCGTATTCCAGTTCACAAGCGGCGGCTAGTTATTGCACCCAGCTGCATGTCCTAGCGGTTACAGTTATTGCACCGAACGCACACGGGACACACCGAGCATGTGCACACCTACACACGTACAGAAAAGAAACTCAGGTAGGCGCAAAAGGTATTGGAGCGAAATACCAACTTTTGCTACGAAAAATGAGTTTTTCATGCCAAAACCATCTTTTCCCTAGGAAAATTTGGTTTTTGGCAGAAAAACCAACTTTTTTCTAGGGAAAACAAAAAAAACCAAAAAAAAAAAAAACATCTTTTGGGAAACTATACGGCCGAACTCCAAAAAGATGTTTTTTTTTGGGTTTTCCTTAGGAAAAAGTTGGTTTTCGGTGGAAAAACCATCTTTTTCCTAGGAAAAAGTTGGTTTTGGATAGGAAAACCAACTTTTTCCTAGGAAAAAGTTGGTTTTCCTATCAATTTTTTCCTAGGAAAAAGATGGTTTTTCCACCGAAAACCAACTTTTTCCAAAGAAAACCAAAAAAACAATCTTTTTGGAGTTCGGCCGTATAGTTTCCCAAAAGATGTTTTTTTTGGTTTTTTTGGTTTTCCCACAGAAAAAGCTTGTTTCTGATTGGAAGAGTACAATGTTGCCGTCAAGCGCGTGCTCACGTCGATCCTGAACGAGTTGCCTGGCGGTATGTTTGTGAGTGGAGGAGTACAGTGTTGCCGTTGAGTGCGTGCTCACCTCGAACCTGAACGAGTTGTCTAGCACCTTCCCTTGAAATGTGAGTTTGGTTTTGGCAGTCTTTGCAAGATACAGAATCCGGACC